TGAACTCAAAAAAAAAAAAAAAATTCAGTGCCCAGGTCAAACCCCTGCTCCAAGAAACCCAAAATAAAGGGAGTGCATTCCTACCATGACGTCAGCCCCCACTACGAAGAGATTTCTGAGAAACACGACCCCTAAGTGGGTAAAAAAAGGGGCAAAATGTGTTCCCACAATTGTTTTCTATGTGCCTGGCAGGCACTGCCTCCTTGCCCCCCCCTCCCACTGGCAAACTGTTCTGAGGTAAAATCTGCCTGCTTGCACCCACCTCCCTCTGACTGTTCAGCTGCGGATCTCATGTTCTGAGGCAAAAGCACAGTTAAAGGAGATTGCAGACAGTTGATGACAGTTGCAGAAATCAGCAATTCAAGATTCCCGAATAGACATTTCTCATAACAGCCAGCATGGCAATCATAGAGAGTTCCTTCAGTAGAGAAAAAATAACAGTACGTTATGTCTCACTTCACAATCTTCTACATTAGAATTCCTACAACAAATGCTTAGCTTCCGAGGTCTGCTGAGATTGGGCCATCCTAGGCTACCCAGACCAGGAGATCAAGTGAAGTACGAGTGGGGGGGAAACAGAGTTCACTTCTTTAACTGGAATCCCACAATCAGCTAAGGGCAGGACTGCCTGGAGAAAAATGGCCCCCTCCTTTTAAAAAGAGGATTAATGGGATGTTTAACAGGTGATGCTGTTTACCTCCGCGCCATAGAAAGCTTCAGCTGTACATTTCCACACACTAAACATCTATTATTATTATTGTTGTTGTTGTTGTTATCTTCATGCACAAAGGTAACCCTAAAACCTGTCATTACAGACTTGATCTAAAGTGGCAGCAGAAACAGGCAGTGACAGGAACAGAGCGACTGGTCACATCTGATACAGTCCAAGTAAAGCAGGCAGCCAGCCATAAAAGTTTTTGCAGACTTTGCCTGCATAGATAGATTCAAGTGGGGTAGACGTGTTGGCCTGAAGCAGCAGAACAAAGGTTGACTCCAGTGGTACCTTTAAGACCAACAATGTTTTATTCAAAGTATAAGCTCTCGTGTGCATGCATACTTCCTCCTATACATTGAACTGGAAATTACCAGTCCATACATACAAGGTAGGTGGGGTGAGGTTTATGGTGGGATAAGGATTTGCTGTTTTATGATTCTGGTTGCAAAAACAGTAAGAAGTAATAATAACAACATAATATTTAAAGGGTGAGCAGCAAATTAGCATAAGCATCATAAAAGGTGTTTAACAGATGCAAGGACCAAACTGGAATAACAAGCTTAGTTTATATGGTCACCATTTGTTTGGTTTAATTCAAGGGGAAAACATAGTGAAGGAAACAAATATATCAAACTCGGAAATAGATGAGCAAATGTACCCTTCTTAACTGTGGAATGCTGAGAATAATTAACTGAGACCCTGTTACACTCCATCCATCTCCTCTCAAGCGTGGAGGTAAATTTACAGTATTTTCTTTGAGGTGTGGTGATTGGCTGTGCAGTGTATAACCCCTCTGTCACCAGACCAGAGAAATACATTCCAGTCTACCATTCCAAATTACATCACATTCTACTATTCATTATATTACATTACAATCACTATTCCAATCTACTATTCTAAATAAGAAATGAAATAAAATAAAGAGGATATATAGCCCTTCTTAGTGAGAATACAGAAGTAAGGACTGAATGAGTTTAGCATTTGCAGTGAAATAAGAAACCAATATCTCTGTTAAGTCCTGGGGGTTCCATTGTTCTGACTGTTATAATAACTTGCAGCTCAGCAATTTCCCTTTCTAGTCTGTTTCTGAAGTTCCTCTGCAATAAAACAGCTACTCTGAGGTCACCCATTGAATGTCCTGGAAAGCTTATACCTTGAATAAAACTAGACTTGAACTTTGTTCTATTGCCTACATAGTTAAGGTATATTTCCACAACCATGAGAGCTAGAAGCTTGATCCTTTAAAAAAAAGTGATGATGTTCAGGATTCAGAAGGTTATACTGACCCAGACATGGATCTGCATACGTGGGTGGTAACTGGAGAAAGGAATGCATGCTCAAGTCAAACTGACAACAGCAAAACTTAAGAGTTTAATGAAGTGAGATGCTGGGAGCTCTGTGATAGATCTTCCCAGCATGTTGTTTTAAAAGGATAATAGCAGCCATGTACGAGTTTACCCTTCTCCTCCCATGCAGTTTTGCTGATTGCCACTGTTTAAGCCCCTCCTTGCACTGTTCTTAGCTTTGTAAACGGGAAATGGAAGAAGACAGTCTCTCTCTTTGCCTGTCTTTTTTTCTCTTCCGGGGCTAATAACAGACAGAGGAAGGGGGATGAGCAACTAAGCCACACAGGTTTTGTATGAAGGATCTAAAATACCCTTCCCTCACACACCAAGGTTCCAATCCAGGCCCTGTGCAGGTCCTACTACCTTTTACAAATGCCAGAATGATCCAAGTCACATCTCCCTGTGTGTCCTGTCTAGCGTCGTTGTGAGCTGCAGCTGAGGCAAACGCTTTCCAGGTGTGAGTCAATGCACAGCCACTGAAGAGAGCTTAAATCATCTTTATTTAACTTCACATGCATTCAGTAGATCATTTACTCACAATCGAGCTGATAGCTGGATAGAGCGTTACATCTTTCTGATCTAGGTCAATCCTATGGCCGTGGTGAGAAAAGAGATGGGCTTCCCCTCTCCTTGCAGTAAGGGCTGATGGACAACGAAACAGAAAAGAACAATAAAACTCCTATCTTTGCGCCTCTGAGCTCAGGAAATTACTCTTAATGAGCCAGTCAGAGGGAAGCTTCTGGGACCCCTAACTGTGGACTCCAATTCCCAGGTGCAACTACTCTTAAAGGTACATTAACGCTGGCTGGGGGCAGCAGACTGTGTCTTGTCTGTCTGGGCCTTCTGAAAAATCCCCTCCTGTTACTTTTCTCCGTATTGCTTACTTACCACCACCACAAAACTGGGAGGGAGGGAGGGAGGAAGGGATGATCTGAGACAGCTCAAACTGAACTCCGTGCAAACCTCTGCACACAAAAAAAGTTGTCAAAATGCAAGTCTGATCATCCCCCCCCCCACAACACACATGGCTCACTTAACAGAAATGGTCTTTTCCAGCTTGAGAGGGAGCAGAGTAAAGAACGTTAAACAGCTATGTGACCACCCAGAAATGCCATATATAATCTTATCCTGAGCACTGGAAGGACTCCCAAAAGCCTCACCATCACCACATATAGGCATAGGATCCTATCTTGTGTATCTTCATTGGCTCCATTGCTTCTGAAAGTCTCCAATAAAATCAATTCCCCAAGATACTCCTTCAGCACGACCGTTTTGCCATACCGTGGCCTAGGGCAACAAGGAGAGGGGGGGTATTGGCAGCGGGGGGGGGGAAGCAAGAGCCAATACTTTTGAGGAGTATGGAACAGGGCCCCCCAGGTCTCCCTTTGTAACCCTTGACCTGGTAGTCTTGAGAAAAGCTTCCTTAACTGACAATCACACGATTTCAAGCTGTGTGAAACTTCCCTAGCCAGGGCAAAAGAAAAAAGTGAGTCCAAGGGAAGCTTTAATTGCATTTCTCTAGCTTGGAGAGGGACGTCATAAGAGCCCTAGTAGGTCAGACTAAAGGACCATCTAGTCCTGTTTCCAAAAGCCACCAGCCAGATACTTCTGAGAAATCCACAACCAGGGTCTGCAGGCAGCAGCCTTTCCACCTCCCTACCTTGGCTATTTATTCACAAGCAAGTGATATTTGGAGGTAGGCTGCCTTTGAACACGGAGGGTCTATTTAGCTGTCATGATGAAAGACCATTGATAGAGCTCTTCTCCATTAATTCTGTCAAATTCTTGTTTGGTGTAGTAGTTAAGAGTGCCGACTCTAATCTGGGAGAATTGGGTTTGATTCCCCACTCCTCCACGTGCAGCTGCTGCCGTGACCTTGGGTCAGTCACAAGTTCTCTCAGAGCTGTTCTCTCAAGCGCAGTCCTCGAAAGAGCACTCTCAGCCCCACCTGCCTCACAGGGTGTCTGTTGTGGGGAGGGGAAGGGAAAGGAGATTGTGAGCCGCTTTGAGACTCCGAGTGAAGGGCAGGGTACAAATCCAATCCCTTCTTCTTCAAATCCTTTTAAAGAGAAATGTCTTCCTAGATGAGACTAAAAGGGTTCCTCTACTCTCACATCCTGAATGGTTCTATTGATGCTTCCAGGAAATACACAGGCAACAGCTCTCCCCCCACCCTGTAGGATTTCCAGGAAGTGATACCCACAGATATACTGCCCCTGAATTTGGGGGCCGTGGCAGACAGACCTAATTTCTTGGCAGTCATTCCCAAAGCTAGTCTGCTGATAACTGTCATCTTCCAACACCACCGGGCTCCTGTTGCATCATTTTCATATGGTATGAATATTGAGGAATGCTACAAGGCCTTTTGGGCTTAGCCAAACAAGTTGCTCAAACAACAAACATGCCGAACATCAGCTTTTGTCAGGAAAACAGGGCCATCCTAAGCAGTTTTACACCCTACTGAGCCCACTGGCACACCACTGAAAGCCTTGCAAAACCGAACACAAAGGAAATCGCAAAGAAAGAATAGGTGAGACTAACCCCACATCTTTTTATTATGTTTTCGGGGCACAGAGACAGGATATAAATTTTGTTAAATAAATAAACCTTAGGGGAATGCTCCAGCACAAAAGAGGGGATTCACTGAGGAGCTGAACCGGCCCGAAGTAAAGTCTGGTGATTAAAAAGGGGAAAGGACAGAGAAGAGCAAAACTAATATGAGCCCTTGGGTACACTTTCTTTTTTCATTGTTCTGTGGCAGCCCTTGGGAGAGCTCCTCTCTTTCCATGCTTAGAGGGAGCACTGGTCACAGGCACTACCAAACAGACGCTCTGACACATACTAGAAAGCATTTCCGATTCCAAAGGGTCCATCGAGCTTGGGAAACAATCCCATTCATCAGTAACAACCTGTTGGTTGTTTTGAATGTTAGTAAAGCACATTATGCTCTAAAACAGAAACACCTCTTTGAGGTTGGGGGTAAATATTTGCTTTTTATGAATTCTTTTCTTTTTTAACGAAACAGTGATTGAACCTCCTTTACTAATTCTTTCATTTGAACAGTAGACTAGATAGCCACAAGTGGAAGGGGGGGACCTCAGAACTGAACACATGAAGCTGCCTTATACTAAATCAGACCCTCGGTTCATCAAGGCCGGTCCTGTTTATTCAGAGGGGCAGTGGTTCTTCAAATTAGTTGCTGTAGATCTTCCGGGTTGTGTGGCCGTGGTCTTGGCATTGTAGGACCTGACGTTTCGCCAGTAGCTGTGACTGGCATCCTCAGAGGTATAACACAGAAAGATGGAGTACTCTCTGTGTCAAGGTGAGAAGAAAATGGTAGGCAGGTAATTTATATCTACTCCAGAAGGTGGGTTAGGGCTGAGTCATTGTCTTGTAGGAGTTCCCCAGGCTATGAACATGCTAATGGAGGAACTTTCCTGAGGAGGTTCTTTTGTATATGGATTGGTTGTTGAAATTCTAATCTTATCTGTAGTGCTATTGTCTGATGTAGAGCCTTTTGTGTTTTTCAGGACAGGAAACGATGCCCTATTTATTTTTAAACTCACTTCTTTCCTGTTGAAATTGTAT